CAGGGGAGGAGAGCCAAGTGCCCAGGTTCGCAGGGGAGGAGAGCCAAGTGCCCAGGTTCGCAGGGGAGGAGAGCCAAGTGCCCAGGTTCGCAGGGGAGGAGAGCCAAGTGCCCAGGTTCGCAGGGGAGGAGAGCCAAGTGCCCAGGTTCGCAGGGGAGGAGAGCCAAGTGCCCAGGTTCGCAGGGGAGGAGAGCCAAGTGCCCAGGTTCCCAGGGGAGGAGAGCCAAGTGCCCAGGTTCGCAGGGGAGGAGAGCCAAGTGCCCAGGTTCCCAGGGGAGGAGAGCCAAGTGCCCAGGTTCCCAGGGGAGGAGAGCCAAGTGCCCAGATTCCCAGGGGAGGAGAGCCAAGTAATCATGTGTGGTGGGGAAAGGAGAGAGCCCCATACCCAGGTACCTGGGGGAAGGAGAGACAAATTCCCAGGCAGAGTGCCAAGGTTCCCATTAAAGAAGAGCCAAGTTACTATTTCGCCAAGAGATGAGAAACATATCCCCAGTGACCTGGAAGAGGAGAGAACAATGTCCAGGTCCCCAGGAAAAAGAGAACCAAATGCACAGGTTTCCAGGGAGAGGGGAACAGGGCGCCCACATTTACAGTGGAGAAGATTTGAATCCCTAAGGCAGCAGAGTACCAAGGGCATTGGAGGGTGGCTGGGCAGTGGTGGCCTTGTATCTTCTGCGAGGTGGTGATGACAATCGGATCTGTGGAGGGCTTCAAGCAGACAATCCTGCCCATCATTGGGATTGGGGGTTGGGGGGGGCTGGGGGATGACACGGGTGTAATATGGAAGGGTGGAGTGTATTTCATGTCGATGGTGCAGATTGTGTTAGCAGTGCAGGTGATTGGAGTGTTGGATACATAAGCGAGTACGGTGATCATGTGACCAGCTTTCTGCTCTAGTCTGTATCGATGCGTTTTGCCAGCGCCATGAACCTCTGTATCCTCTCCCCGCAGCAAAGCGTCACCCTGCACAATATGGTGAAAATGTCCGTCAGCGTAAAAGTGCGTCGAGGAACCGGAGGTGAGAGCCAATTCTGCCAATGGTTCTGTGCGACCCGCAATGTATTGTAACCCAAAGCAACCGTCTTCATGTCATCGATAAGGCAGCTGATTGGTCGTTGGACTGCGCTCATCCTCTACGTCTGCAATTTCAGATGAGCTGATGGTGAATTCCTTGGATCTGGTCCCGGGCGATTGTATCCTCATTCCTCCGGAAGGTCTGCTGTTGCCGTGTGACGCCGCCCTGCTGGCGGGGGAGTGTATGGTGAACGAGAGCTTGCTGACAGGTGGGTGTCCATGCTGCGCCTTCTTATTTGATTATGAGGAATATTTTTATACTGTACAAATGTGCGTCCGACGCTGAGCTCTGAGTGGTGCCGGTTATGTATAACTAGCCAACCAGACACGTGGGATACGGTCATGGACCATGGGGAGAGTAGAAAAAGAGGGGCTGAGCATCATTGGGGAACAAGGGGTAAGATGATGGTGGGTGGGATGATGGTGAACAGGGAGAGAGGAGGCAGAGGAGATGATCTTGGACAGGGGGGAGTGGGGTAAGGTCTTGAACCATGGTGAGAATTAGAGAGGGGATGAGCACAGTCGGGGAGTACCTGTGGGAAGATGATGGCGGATGGGAGGACGGCAGTAGAGGGGGGCTGATGGTGAATAGGGAGAGAGGAGATTGTCTTGGACAGGGGGGAGTGGGATACAGTGATGGGCCATGGGGAGAATAGGTAGAGAGGGGATGAGCATCATTGGGTAACAAGGGGTAAGATGATGGTGGGTGGGATGATTGTGAACAGGGAGAGAGGGGGCAGAGGAGGTGATCATGGATGGGGGGAGTGGGGTAAGGTCTCAGACCATGGTGAGAATAGGTAGAGAGGGGATGAGCACAGTTGACTTTAAAGGGCTGATGTGAGCAGGGAGAGGTGCGAGTGTTATCGATTGGTGGAGGAGTGGATCAGTAGACGGTTATGTCCATCTGTGAGAGGATGCAGAAGAGGACCTGTCATGGACTGGAGAGTGAAGGGAGTGGAGACAGACAGGGCGAAGCTGATCGTGAAGCGGGTGGAGGGGTCCTGTATGAACTGATCTTGGACAAGGGAGAGTGGGATACAGTCATGGGCCATGGGGAGAATAGGTAGAGAGGGACTGAGCACAGTGGGGGAGTACCTGTGGGAAGATGATGGCGGATGGGAGGACGGCGGTAGAGGGGGGCTGATAGTGAATGGGGGAGAGGAGATGGTCTTGGACAAGGTGGAGGGGTGATGTATGAACTGTCATACTTTCTGCTGTGTAAAGTTCTGCTGTGGAGTTTTTCCTTCTTCGTTCCGTTCTATATGATCCATTATTATATGATACTGTTCTGCATTATAGTATATAGAGAGTATATACAGTATACACTAACCTACGAGTTTGGTATTTTCTTCCCTGCTGTCCCGTTATAGGGGAGAGTGTACCTGAAATGAAGACGCCATTACCCGACGGACCCCACGCCGCGGACACCATTTACTCCCCGGATGCCCATCGCCGCCACACTCTGTTCTGTGGGACGCAGATCATCCAGGCCAAGAGCTACGTGGACAATGATGTCATCGCCATCGTGCTGAAGACAGGTATCACATGACCTCATAGGATCTCCCCTTCACATTGACATGTATGTGATGCTATGGCGTATCTGTATGATTTGCTGGCATCCAGTATAGTCACCCCACTCTCTGTAGGTGACAGGTGCTCTTAAAAGGGATGCTTAATAATGACAACGTATTTAATGTGATAACACGGGCAGCTCCGCCCAGTCCGGCGCATATACACGGCATTGAGAATCTGTATGTAGCATCGTACAGGTCTGATCATGTGACCGCATAGTCCCCACCGTCTGCCCGGCTGGAAGACAATCTCACTTCAGGGCTGCTGTGAACCAGTAAGGTTGCCCCGCTGTGCTCGGTCTGCAGCGGCGGTATACAAGCAGACACGTGACGTAAATGAAGGATATCCTGATCATTGGAGGTGAATGAATAGTTCTGGGCGGTGACCATTGTCTGCTCCTTCCAGGGTTCTGCACAGTGAAGGGGAACCTCATCAGCTCCATACTCCACCCCAAACCAATCTTCTTCAAGTTTTACCGCGACGCCATGATGTTTGTGCTCGTATTGGCCGCTTTCGGTAAGGACTTGTGACCTGGTCACTCATCGGCGTGATTATTTTGGGTCGGGTGGAATCTGGTCGACTTCCACTGATTTATTTATTTGATTTCTGATCATATTTTGTTGTTCTGCAGCCGCCATTGGGACCATCTACAGCATCGTGATTCACATCCTGTACAAGGTGTGTAGTGTATATCCCCACCCCCTGTGCCCCTCCATGCCCCCCTGTGCCCCTCCATGCCCCTACCCCTG